AGTTTAAGACGACTGAAAGTCTGAAAAGCTACAGGTATGGATAAAATAACTGCTCAAGGCGTTAACGGATATAATAACACCATCACTCACTTACATTTTCAACCCTGTAAATCGATGGAAACGTTTATAAAACGTTTGACGAATTTGAGAAGGATTTCAATCTGATTTTAGCAAAATATCACTCAAAAAATGTTAACAAAGTATCACTCAAAAAGCATAGATTTATACTTTGTTCTGGACAACAAACGCATGTACTGCAAATTTTAAGTAATATTCCATCAATATTACGTTGCTGCTCAAGATTATTCGCTATTTTCGGCCATGTCTCAGCGAAGAATTCTTGACTGCTAATTTCCCGATTGCGACAAGTAACTGTGGTCTTGATTAACGTTTATTAACGTTTACATCTGCTATGTTGCTTTTATTTTTCCTCTGTTGCAGTACGAGAGACAGGCTAGCGAAATCTATGTTTTTGTTGTTTGGTCAGCGACGACAGTTTTCTCACCTGTTGGTAGGGAGTGTGCCGAAATTTCGTATTTTGACATCGATTTATTAAAGAATAATACGTTTGATAACTTGTTTAGCGATACGGTCTGTTAGGAAAAACTGGAATTAGCTGGGGAAATGGTATTAAAACTGTTGACGACCTTCATAGCTATTGGCCGTCTGCCATCTTCACTTTTCTCACATTGCTTCAGGTATATATAGAGGCTCACTGGTAACAACCAGCAATACGCTACGACTTGGATCTGACAAAGCATGTTCGTCTGCCCAGACCCTCCCGCGCTGTCCAACAGAGCGATAAAGCCTGCGACTGCGGAAATCTCTACAATCAGCCAAACATACAAATCTGATATGTTCTGGTTATTTTAGCTTGTGTGGTGTTTGTACGCTGATATGGTGTGTCTCAATTATGATGGAAACATAACTGATGCGAGTATGATTGCATTTCTTGGGGCAATCCGCAATAGTAAGTGACTTTCTATGCTTACCATTCCTGATTGTGATATTATCCAAATTAGATTGCACGAAATTAGTATGATCCTTTTTGCCGCGTTTTCTTTCAAGACAGCTGCAGACTGAGAGAGATACCTAAAATATATATTAAGCAGAACCTCAGGTAATCTCTCTCGTCAGCTGCCTTGTTATCGTCGCTACTGTACCTACACTGGCACATTTTCTTTCAAGCATTCGGCTTGTACACTACTTATGTCGTAATGCACCATTGAAGAAGCACCAGCAGTTCTACACACATGTAACTTTGTAATCGCCAAGTAAGTCTTGCTCAAACTATATGATTCCTACATACAGTGAGTTTGCATATACGACTATCATGGTTGGGAATTACAATACATCCTTTTGGAAAGTATGTCACTTTGGCTACAGAGCCTCGCTTTAGCGATTGAGAGTTAATTGTGCGTCTATCGTGTGACCTGTCTACAGACGGAGATCATTAATTTATGTCTGTCTATTTTCAATACTTAGCAAGACTATACGAAATTACAATAAACGAAGAAACCAACACTCCAGAACCTGCTGAGAAAAATGAAATTGCATTGAATGTAAAAGAACAACCTGTCGCCTCGACGTTTGCTGTCATTGACAAGTAAGTCGCTTGAAAATGGAGAAGTCGCGTAGCATGTTGTCAGACGATGTTAAATGGGACAATTTGGAACGATCGCGCCGTAGAAGGCCTTCTCGCAATTTCGTTCCACAGAATGTCGTTCCACAGAATGTCGTTTTGCAGAAGGCCTTCTCGCAAAATGTCGTTCCACAGAATGTCGTTTTGCAGAAGGCCTTCTCGCAGAATGTCGTTCCACAGAATGTCGTTCCACAGAATGTCGTACCACAGAAGGTCGTTTCGTAGAAGGCCTCGAAATAAGTGCCGGTCACTGACCGGTATAATTTCAGTTTGACCGGCAAATATCGTCGCCTGGCGGACATGTGTGACCGGTAAATTAATAAAAAAGTACTGTACGTTCAAAAGTGGAGCATATTTTTTATTTCCAATTTTCCAAAGAAGTGTATGTCCGTCTACGGTGCAGGTAATAAGAACGGCGACATTTTCTCATACAGATACGATATACCGCAAGCATTGTGCCTAAGGGCTGTTTTTCAGTTACTCGTTTTTCACACGTGCGACTGAAAAGTTTCAATCTTTTAAAATTTCATATAATTTCATATAATCTTAACAAATTCACATTAAATCATACACAAAACTGAATGCTGTCCTTTTATAAATTTAGTTATTTCATAAGTAGGATGTAAAGCAATTTCAACTTTTACATGCGTACACGCACGTATGAAAAACGCGTAACTATAATGCAGCCTTAAAGCGTGCTCGCAACTCAAACTACAGTTGTCATTTGCGACTTAATATATTATTAAACAATGTTAATGTTATTAGTAATGATTACTACTACAGCTTTGATAAACGCCATACTTCTACTTTGTATCCAAATACAATTAAAATACACAATTGTTTCTAAAGTTACGAGTCGGTGAGGAGGAAAAGAAGCTAAGGAGTGACAATGACCGGCATAAATTCCGTTGTGACCAGTAAATTTAGCGATCCACCGGTCATAATGACCGGTATAACGTCCAGCTTTATTTCGAGGCCTGCTTCCACAGAATGTCGTTCCACAGAAGATCGTTCCACAGAAGATCGTTCCACAGAATGTCGTTTTGCAGAAGGCCTTCTCGCTGAATGTCGTTCCACAGAATGTCGTTCCACAAAAGGTCGTTCCACAGAATGTCGTTTTGCAGAAGGCCTTCTCGCAGAAGGTCGTTCCACAGAATGTTGTTTTGCAGAACGTCGTTGCAAATCGTTCCTTGTAACATCATAAGCATGCGGGCAACGATGTTCTGATTACACCGTAGTCAAGCAATTTTTCAGCTCTCCTGGTGTGGAAACACAGAGTAACATGAGCAAAGACATTAACCTGAGTACAACACCATGCACAACCACCAGACGAGACGACCATATTTGTAATTGTTTAAAAGTCCAGGAAGAACCTAATGAAACCAGGGCAATCGTCGTTGATGAGTAAAATAGTCTTCTATTGTAAAATTGCTTGAAAAGCTATAAAGCTGCGGATATGCATAAAAAGAAATGTTAAATACTAAAGTTAAATATGCGTTGTACCAATCAACGGACATTTTTTTTGAAAGCTTGAAAAAATCACTATCCTGTGGATTGCATTATCCCGCCTTCGTACAATCGACCCCTGGGGCCGCTTATTCAAAGCTGCTAAGAGCGCTAACCCTGGCTTCAAATTTAACTCGCTGTTTCGGTTTGCGTATTTCTGCACGTCTATTTATTTCACAACGTTGGAAAATAAAACTTCTGTTGATGCAGACAAGTCATAGAAAAATATTTCCATGTTTATGAACAAAATGTTGGGAAGTTTAGTTAACCTTGGATTAAGTTAACCTGCTTTTGAACAACCGTCCCCAGGTAATAAAAAATAACGAAAATCCCTAAATGTGAATTCCCAAATGATACTTGATAGTGAACTTAATTAAACGACATATTTGTACCGGTTTACTTTGAAGTTGTTGTAATACACTGTTTGTGTAATTTTAGACGCGATATTTGTATTTGGAATGTCTGTTCAATGATGTGTTTGACTTAGTCGGTGTTCGCGTTATTTATGATGTATCGTTTCATTTTTGTTTGTAGTTCAGTGATTATATCTGATCCCACTGACGATGAAGAAAGTCTAGCAACTGGAGTAATGACAATTGTTGTTACATCTCAAGGAAAACTTTGTTCTGTTCATAAACCAGGTTATACTCTCACGTTTGTGTTCATAACAAACTCGAAACTTGTTTATTACCGACGTATACCTTAAAGTACGTAAAAAACTCGACTAGCGCCTCGTTTTATTCGCCGGTAATAAACGGTTTCTCGCTTATTATTTTTTACACATGGTACATTAATTACTGTATTTATAATGTGAAAGCTAAGAAGGAGTAGAAGGCAACGTCAATTTGCTTACAAAGTTTCGCATAACTCTCGTTGATTTTAAGTACTGTATTTCAAATCCAGTTTACGCTTCGCGAGTACATCGCATTCATAATTTGTTGATGCATTTTAAACTTTTGAGATCAGTTGTACGAATCTACACTTGATAAGTTCTATTATATCAATCATTAAGCCCCGAGAGATGATGAGAGTTGAGAGTCACGCATTGTTACGGAGGACATTTCAAGATCTAGATTAACAAAATAAAGGTTTGATGAATGTTCCAACTATGTTTTAACTTCAATAAAATACATGATAGTGTTGGGCAAGCATTCAGAACAGTTAACCAAGGACTGACAACTCTCATGTACTCTCATCCTCATTTTAATGGCGACTTTCACATTCCTACAAAATTTAGATTGTTTCATTATGAAAGAGATTCTGTATATTGTTATTTAGGCGGAGGTCCGCTACCTTCTGATGTTCTTGTGAAACAATGTACAGATGAAGCAACGAAAAGAGCAAAACGTGTTCAGAAACTTGTCGATACCGCACTGAAAGATACATAATGATAAATATGCTGTATTGATGAGCACAGACAGCCCGTGATACGATCAAGACCTTGGGGTTCTTTGCAAGAACAATAAAAGTTTTTTCCAGTATTGTCGAACATCAGCCACCTATTTCACTTGGTTTAATCAAAGTGTAACTTTATAGAATGGGACTTACGTTCGCCTGAAAACGCGAATGCAGC